ATGACTGTGATGTTGAAAGGTCTGCCTTGGATTCTAATTGAAATCATTCTATCATTTTTTACATTGTATCCCAGTACAGCTTTTCCCACTCTTTTGTGGACTATGAGGGCTACTCCATTTCTTAATCTACGGGATTCTTCCCCACAATACTGTAGTAGATATAATTGTCTGAATTGAATTCGCCCATTCCCACCCATTTTAGTTCACTGACACCCAGGATGTCAATGTTTATTCTTGCCATCTTCTGTTTGACCACATCTTACCAAGGTTCATAGATCTTACATTCCAGGTTCCTATGCAGTATTTTTCTCTGCAGCACCGGACTTTCCTTTTACTTCCAGGCATGTCCACAGCTGAGCATCCTTTCAGCTTTGGCCCAACCACTTCATTAGCTGTGGAGCTATTTGTACTAGTCCTCTGCACTTCCTCAGTAGCATGTTAGACGCCTTCCAACCTGAGGGGCTCATCTGCTAGCATCATATCTTTTAGCCTTTTGTTTCTGTTCATTGGGTATTCTTGGCAAAGATACTGGAGTGGCTTGCCAGTTCCTGCTGCAGGTGGATCACGTTTAGTCAGAACTCTCCACTATGACCTGTCCGTCTTGGTTGTCCCTGCATGGCTTAGCCCGTAGCTTCTCTGAATTACTCAAGCCCCTTCACCACAACAAGGTAGCAAGCCGTGAAGGGTGTCCTGGGTAAGAGAGATATACTTTCAAATTCCTTCTTGGTATCTCAGCCTGTCAAGCATTTTTAGCAGTGATAAGAACAGCTATAGCCACAATGGTGCCTCTCAAGACCTGGCCAACAGTGATAATACAGTACTTTGTAGTGTTGAGCAAGAAAGAAGTTAAGATTATGAGTGACGCAGAGTGACCTAATGTCACAGTTAACATTTTGCTAATTTGGGGGATAGATCAGTATAGCTGGTATAAAGAATTTTGCTAATGCATTTGGTTCTATGAAATTTCAATATCAATGAGTAAAATAGGCCAGCTTCTCATCAGGAAGAACTACAAATAGTTTTATTTCATTATCTGAAGTGTATAATTACCATTTGCTAATGGTTTTCCCCCATTATATTATTTTCCTGTGCTGATTTTTTGTTTTGTTTTTATTACAAAGCTAATATAGTACACAGCCCACTTGTTTTGAGTAAGATATATTTTAAATTTTATTTACAGGGTAAGAATTATTACAGCAAATTAGGCAGATGTTCTGTAGGAACTGTTGGAAGGACAGCTGAGCAGTAACACAAAACTGAACTAGAGCTTCATTTTCATAAATTCTTTGTGGACAACTGATGTTCTAAAATCCTCAATAGCACAATAAGTCCAACATTTTATGGAAAGAGAGGCAGAGGTGCAACACGCAGGTGGCAAACACACTACTATGAGGAACAGTGATTATCGCATAACACATGGGGTCATGGGATTCATCCAGTGTGGTGCTGGAGAGCACAAGAGAACTTTATTCCTCTTCCTTTTACGTGCAGGTCCCTACACTGCCCAAAAATAGCTCCAAAGGGTTTCTCATACCACCAGATGTTGAGGAGCACATGAGGGACTGTGGTGGAAAGATAGGATCTCCCCACCCCAACCCAGGTCTGCCATTTCACTAGTGAAAGTCCACCATTTCATACAGCCTATAGCAGAACTTGGAAAACTTACTTTCCAAATACAAATGC